GATCGTGACAAGCTATGGACAATGTTTAGGAGAATGAATGTTTCAGGACACTTAATTGTGCTCATGAGGAACCTGTACATAGAACAAGAGGCAGTTGTTTGAATAGAACAAGGAAGGCATTGAATGTTTTAAAATTAGGAAAGGTGTGCATCTGGGTTGTAATCTTTTACCATATGTATTCAATCTGTATGTTGAGCAAATAACCCAAGAAACTGGATTATATGAAGAAGAATGTGGCATCAGGATTGGAGGAGACTCATTAACAACCTGTGCTATGCAGATAATAAAACTTTGTTTGCTGAAAGTGAAGAGAACTTAAAATACTTACTGATGAAGATCCAAGACCATAGCCTTCAGTATGGGCTGCACCTCAATATAAAGTAAACAAAAATCCTCACCACTGGATCAATAAACAATATCAATATAAATGGAGAAAAGATTAAAGTTGTCAAAGACTTCATTTTGCTTGCAGCAATCAAGAAAATAAATTGCATTAGGTAAATGTGCTGCACAAAGCCTTTTTAACGTGTTCAAGAGCAAAGATGTCTGTTTGAGGACTAAAGTGTGTCTTGACCCAAGCTGTGTTATTTTCAGTAGCCTCATATGCAAGTGAACATTGGACAGTGAATAAGGAAGACCATAGAAGATTTTTTTGCATTTGACTTCTGGTGTTGGAGAAGAATGTTAAAAGTACCATGAATGCCACAGCCTGCCAAAAGAACAAACAAATCTGTGTCGGAAGAAGTACAGCCAAATGCTCCTTAGAGACCAGGATGGCGAGATTTTGTTTCTTATACTTTGGATCTATTTCCAGGATAGACCAGTCCTTCCTGGAGAAGGACATCAAGCTTGGTAAAGTGAAAGGTCAGCAAAAAATAAGATCCTCTCAATAAGATGGCTTGGCACAGTGGCAGTAGCAGTGTGCCTAAGCATACTAGCAGTTGTGAGGTTGGCACAGGACCGAGCAGTGTTTTGTTTCTGTTGCGCATAAAGTCGCTGTGAGTCTGAACCATCTCGATGACACCTAACAACAGCAGTAGCAAGGCTTAAACTCCGAAAAGCACAGTAAATATAAAGCTTCTAAGGACTCCTCCAGTACACAGGGATTTCCCTCATCCTTGTGAATCTCAGCCCTGCGCACCATGCTCCCTGCTGTTTGCTCTTGACTGATTGACACCCAGGTACCTCTGACCCTAGCTGGCATGGTGGCTGTGACCTCTTCTTAAGGTTTAATACTTATTTCTGCACTGTGAACATCATTCCTCCTTGTCTCCTGTCTGTCAAAGGGCATATCCCCAAGGACTCATTAGAGCCTTCTGTGTTTGGTGGGAAATGTTGGTGGTACCATAGGCAATGCCACGGTAATACAAAACCATACGTATGTCCACTCAGCTCTCTGTCATCTCTCAGTTGGAGGTTCATATGGGGACCAGAGTTCAGGAGATCCTAACAATGAGCCCTAGCGTGGCCTCGTAGGATAAGCTCTGGACTGCTAACCAAAGGTTAGTCACTATGAGTTGGAACTAATTCAGTGACACTTAACAACAACAACCCATGAAGAAAATGAATCTTTGTCTTCTTCTTCCCTCTATCGGCCCATGTCAGTATGGAGTGCCTGCCATACTGATTCTCCACTTGGTTGTTACACAACCATTCTTACCCGTGACTGGGTTGTGGTGATAAGAGTACATTGCCTTCCCCATCTGACCCAGCTTCGATGGCTTGATAATCAGAACTCTACTAAAGGAAGATAAAAAAGAAAACAACTTTTGATAATTGAAGTGAGGATAAATTGCTACAATTTGATGAACTTGACCTATATTCATGAGGTAGCTCAAAATACCAACAGAGAGGGAAGAAGTCTTCACATCAAGTATCAGTGCTATCCCCTCTGCATTCTGGGTAGATAGAGATGGGCAACTTAGACAATGGCTACCTAAAATGTTGTTGTTTTAGGTTCCATCGAGTCGATACCGACTCATGCACAGCAGAACAAAACATTGCCCGATCCTGGGCCAACGTCACTATTGTTGCCATGCTTGAGTCCATTGATGCTGCCACCTGGCCAATCCATTTCACTGGGGGTCTTCCTCTTTTTCCTAGACCCTCTACCTTACCTAAAATGAGGGGGTGATAAAGGCACAAAGTGACTGGCTTACAAGGTTTCATGAGGGAGTTTAGTGTAAGAGTGGGGAGGCGGTTTAGATAGAGTCTCCACTGAATAGTTTTCATTTTGTCTAGACGGGTCTGGTGAAAAGACATGGGGCTAAGATTCTTATGATTCAATACTGAGTAATTGTTACTGACTAATTGTGACTGTCACAATTGTAAAGGTAGAAGTTTTGTAACAAAAATGGGGGAGTAGTTAATCTTACAGTTCAGAAACAGAGGACCTTAGTATCATCAAGGGAGAAGAGCACAAGCATAATGCGGCACCTTATCTAGAGAAACAGCTACACCAGAAATGGAGGCAGAGATGGGGACATGGAGAGAGGGAGCAGCTGAGGACTCTAGATTCATGGGAAGAGAGGGGCTGAGAGCTGGTGGCCAGGAGGCAGGCTTGCAGAACGTGTCCTTTGGTGATTTAAATTATTATATATGTCTGAGTGTTTAAAAAAAAAAGAGAGAGAGCTAAACTGAATAGAGAGAAACACTGTTAACTGATGGCACATGGAAGGGATTAAAATTATTGTAATGAAACAAGGTGTATGATTTGTTGAATATAAAACTGATGATTTGCCCTGTAAACTTTCACTCAAATCACAATAAAAACTTAAAAAAAAAAAGTAAAGTATAACTAATTTGTTATAGTCCCAAATTTAAATTCAATGAATCCTTAAAATAAAAATTGATATTATAAGAAACAACAAAAAGATTTGTATCAGGGATCAAACCCAAATGGACTGTCCACCTGGCATGCTTGCTGACCTGTTTCTGTAGAGGTATGCACACACACCCTTCTGCAGAAGTAAAGTTTGCCTTGCCAAGGTAGAAAAAACAAAACAAAATGTTGCTTCCCTTTCCCACCTAGCAACTCTAAGCCTTCTTGGAGGTTTATGTGACTAAAATGATTATAAATCATCAGTATGTTACAGTCTTGTCAATATCGATATATCAATATAATATCAGTTTAAAAAAAAAAAAAAGTGCATTGCCTTCATTTCTACTTCTTGTAATGGGCCTTATTTGCTGGACCCCAGAATCTTTGAGCCTGGGTAAGAGCACAATACATCTTTTTAAAAACCAACATGGTTTACTTGCACAAAACCGATCGTTTATGAGAGAGAGAGATCGTGAATGTCCTTGAAGTGGTTTTTTTGTGGGTGTGAAACAAATGGTGAGAATTTGAATGAGTCCCTCTTAATATAGCAATGAAATTAAGTCGAATTAATTTATCAAGTCACGCTCATGCCCTGATTGAATCTCCTTGCATCTATCTAAAAACGTTGTGATACTTGAAAATAAAATTAGCCAAGCCCTCCCCTGGGCCCAGCGGACTTCTCCTCCCCCTGGGTGGGTGCTAGAAGATGGATTTCAGCAGAGTGAGACCAGCCCTGGCTGTGGGAACATGGATGAGTGCAGGCAGGCATTGTGCACATGCGCTGTTCCCCCAGCATGGGAAACGGGGCAGCGGGCGTGAGTAGGTACAATGTCCTGGTACAGTGAGAAGAAAGGTGAGTCTGGCCTGAGATATCATGGCAGGCTCTTGACTCACCCATTCATTTATTCAACTAGTATTTCAGGAGCAACTACAGTGTGCCAAATATTAGTCTTAACCTGGAAAACTGTGGTAGCAAGACCCAGAGACTGTCCTCCTGTGAGGAGCTGAATCCCAGTAGGGTTGATAGGCAGTTAACAAATGCTGAAATAAATAAAATGATTGCGTTTCATCAAATGCTGCAGTGAGGAGGAAGCGGGGGAGGGGAGAACAGATACTGCTATAATGTGGTGGTCCGGGTAGACCCGTCTCAAGCTTCTCCCTAAAGAGCCCAAGGAACCAACTGTGCCTGGCTTCAGGAGATGGCTACTCCAGGCACGGAGGCTGAGACAAGAAGAGTTCTGCTGTGTTCTTGAAACCACCTTAGGTCAGGAGGGCTGGACACAGCGCGCAGTGGGGGACATGATGCTTGAGCAGAAACCTGGAGGGAGAATGGGCAGTGTTTCCCCCAAATTTATGTCAACCTGCTGGACCATGATTCTCAGTATGATGTAATTACCCTTCCTGTCGTAAATTCTCACCTCTGTGACATCTACAGGATTAGGCTTGTGTCTTGGGTCAGTCTCTTTGTGATAGAAAAAGGGTTAGACAAGGGAGCAGACATCAGAGGGATCCCTTACCCCCAAGAACGAAGAGCTAAGAGTGGAGTGTATCCTTTAGACCTTGGGTCTCTGTGCTGAGAATCTGCTTGACCCAGGGTAAGATTGGTGGCAAGGACCTTCCCCAGAGCCAACACAGAGAGGAAACCTTCCCCCCAGAGCTGTACCCTACACCTGCCTTACTCTGTGTTAAGGGCCCCCACTTGTGGTATTTGAGGCAGGATACTGTCACTTCTGGTGGGGATGTGGGAGAGGGAAGGTACGCCCGTCTTCATCCACCAGTGTGAAGAGTGCACTGAGGAGGGTATGTTTGATGGGATCTCGATGATGAAGTAATCACCCTTATTTTGTGATTTTCAAGTTGGGGGATTTCAGTCCTGGCTGAGACTATATCTAAAGCACAGTGCAGCCTGCCTACTTCACCCCACTGCAGAGCTGAAGTTTCCATCTGGGCAGCAGGGCCCTCATGCGTGGGCTCGAGCCTCTGATGGTGTATTCATCTCCAGAGCGTGTGTTTGCCCAGCTCTGAAGGCAGTACCACCCTGGCAGTCTCGCATTTCATTTTCTTGGAATGATTCTGCTGTGAATGAATCATGACAGTACCTCATTATCCCGTCTCATGCAGGCAGCCGTGCAAACTACCCGACTGATGAGTTCACTCTTGTCTGTCTCCCTTCTCTTAGGATGGCCATCCAAGTGGACAAATTCAACTTCGAGAGTCTCCCAGAATCCCCTGGGGAGAAGGGCCAATTTGCAAACCCCAGACAGCTGGAGGAAGAGAGGCAGGAAGCCCGCGGCCTGGAGATCAGCAGCAAGCTGGACATCCGATGGACGATCATATCCTTGCTTTGGTTCCATGGGGCCAGGGAGGGCATGACCCTAGAAATGCCATGGAGGGAGGTGTGGGCAGACGTAACGGCCCAGTGGCCACACTTAACGATGTATTGATTCAGAGTCAGGAAAGGTCTTCCTGTGCTGTTGCTGCTCTTGTCTTGGGTGCGGAGGTTTCGGGCCAGTGGTGGTATTCATGTTTGTGACAGGTTCTGATGGCCACCTCTCGGTTCTGGGCTCTGAGAGTTCCGGAGCTGACAGCTGAGAACCTGAATGCAATTGTCTGGGAAACAGACTGAACGGGCGTGGAGACACCGCAATGAAAATGCTGGGCATGTTCCCCAAGGGGCGTCCCTGCAGGGAACGTTTCCTCAAATCATTGATCCTGCTCTGGACTTTAGGAGGCCTGGCTCCTGGTGGACACCAGTGGATAAATGAATGAGTGAGCGAGTAAGTGAATGGATGCATGCTCTGGAGAGAACCCAGACCGTTTGTTCTGCAGCACACACAGTGAGCCCACTCTGTCATGTGCTCAGGAGCCAGCAAAGGCCAGGTGTCCCTGCAGGGGACCTGAGTACCTGTAGTGGACACCATAACCAGGATAGCACAGAGCACTGGGGGGGGGGGGGGGGGGGGGGGG